GGGATTGGGACTATGTTCGATTCCTTCCAGCTACTCGGCACAACTCCTGAAGCAAGGGATGTATTAAAAATAATGGTGATCGGCTCAGCTAGCACGTGAGCATACTCCTTTAAAATTCGAGGTGAAATATTGTCAGGTCCGGGGGCTTTAAAAGAATGGACAGTTTGGAGTTTCTTACAGACTTGGTAACATTCAACTGCAGGTACACTTTCATTTGATGGTGAAAAAGGTGGTAATAAGTTCACATCTAATGGCGGAATATCAGCGTTAACGGAAGTATAGAATTCGTTAAGGGCATTGGAAGCTTGTAAATTGTTTAGGATTTCACCATCGCGTTCTAAGGTGAAAGGCTTTGTTGTTTCCGGTTTGCCAGACATTTTGTTAATGATTTTCCACCACTTACGACTATCGCTGTTTTTTAAATGCTGAACTTTGTTTTTATAAAATGATTTCTTTCTTTGCTTAATCTCCTCTTGGACTTTATATCTTAAAGATTTCCATAGGGGGATATTATGGTTATGGAATGCTTTCTGTCGGTCTTTAATCAGCTTTTTAATACTTGGGGTTATCCAAGGTTTATCGGTTTGATGTCACTTCACAGTTATAGGAGGGAATATACGATTAAAGGCTTCTGTAAGGTGCGATGAGAATGATGATGTTAAATCGTCTACCGTTTGATTAGTCCCTAACTCGCCAAACCAGACATGTGTAGCGATCCATCTCCCCAAAGCTTCAACCCCAGACCTTGGATAGCGCCGGATGCGACGTTTGACAGATTTCGTATGTTCTTGAGAATTGGTATTCTCTAGACTGGGTGACCATGTTACAATGTTATGGTCTGAGGACCCTAAGGGCGCTAAAACTTGGGGAGGTTCATACAGGTTTGGTTGGTTCGTAATTATGAGATCCAAAATGGCTGTACCTCTTGTAGGGACTTTGACAACTTGCTTCAGGTTATGGCTTGATAATATATTCGATATATCGAAATCGTTAAAATCACCAAGAAGTACTAGACCACAGTTGGGATGTTGGTTGCGTAATGAATCTATTGTTAAAACTAAGTATTCATTAAGTTGGCGGTGGTTTTCTACAGGTAAACCAGGGGGGTGATAGACTATGCACACTGCAATACCAGAGAGCGGTCTGGGAAGGCGGGTAGGGCGAAGCCACAGCCACAGACATTCTAAATTTTCATGTTCCAAGTCCAACCTACGTTTGGCATAGGTGCCCTGTGGTAGATAAACACAAATTCCTCCTCCACGACGGCTAGAACGGTCTTTACGAAAAATGTTATATCCGTTTATCGAAACGAGTCCATCCTCGATGTCACTGTTCAACCACGATTCAGTGACCGCCACTACACTGGGTTGGCGACGACTTAAAAACAGGGTGAGTTCATCTATTTTTGGAAGCAGCGATCTAGCATTAATACAGCAGAAATTAGGTAAATGTGACTTTGAGGACTTTGTAATACAGGCGCGCATTAGGTTTGTGTATGACAATATTTTTCAGATTTAGTATGTTAGAGCCACAAGGTCTATGGTGATTTTGGTAATTCCGTGCAGTAATTCGTGTAGGAATAGTTGTCACATTTCCTACCTCTTGCACAGTTGGTGTACAAAGTCCAAATGGCTCAGCCATTCGAGGCATTAATTCGCGAAAAAATCTGGTTCCAGAATATCGACGCCATGGTTAAAACAACTCTTGATCGCTGCTTAACTTGCCAAGCCCTTGGCCGACCCGGCCCACCAGCACCAATCACCCGCACCACCATGCCTAATGGACCTTGGCAAACTGTTCATGTCGACTTCTATGGTCCTCTACCCACTGGAGAATACCTTCTTGTCGTTGTACATAGATATTCTCGGTTTCCCGAGGTCGAAATTGTCCACTCCACGAGAGCCTCTACTGTGATACCAAAACTCGACAAGATCTTTGCCGTTCATGGCATTCCTACCCTTCTCAAAAGCGACAATGGTCCCCCTTTCAATGGTGAAGAATACCAACGCTATCTCACTGCCCTTGGAATAAAGGCAATCCTCTCTACTCCCAAAAGGCCCCAAGGCCACGCTGAGGTAGAACGCTTCATGCAACCCTTGGGCAAATCCCTGAAAGCTGCTAAACTTGACGGTCGTCCATGGAAACAAGAGCTAAGTCGTTTCCTGTTGCACTATCGCACCACACCGCATTGTACCACTGGTGTTCCACCCTCTGAACTGTTATTTAAAGTGCCACTGCGATGGAAAATTCTGCTGTCTTTTTATTGTATATTCAGAAAGTATGTCAGTAGATGAACAAAATTACCAAATATCAGCGTCCAATTCCATTTCCTTCTGCCTTTTTTTTCAACGCAAACATACAAATTTTTCGGCCGCCATTACTGAGTTGCCAATTAGCGAGATGTTGATTTCTTAGCCGGATGTGACGTCATTTACTCAACACGCTTCTTTCCCGAAGGAGAAATTAATATTATCAAAGGCTTTATATTCTAGGCTGTTTTTTGTTCAAAATTATGTCTTCTGACGAAAGCCACAGCTCAAATTTTGCAACACAATCATCTTGCGAACTCTCTTTTGCCGAAGACGTTTCTTGTGATAACGGGGGTGATGTAAATATGGAGAAAAGTGTGGATTTGTGCGAGGCCTATGATACTCCAGTCGAAGCTCTTGCCACTGAAACGAAAAGTACTATAACTGAGAGAGAGCAAGAGCAGCAAACACTGTCTGCTGAATTGTTTGGGGAAATCTTAACGGGCACCTGGTACGTTTTGGATTGTATTTATTTACGTTTTGGTTTATATATTTGTGACATAAAACAAACATGTGATGGCCATGTTTAACAAAACAAATGGTCACTGGTCTCCTTATAAAAAATCATTGTCACCTCCGTTAACTTATATTGCACGAAACGTCTTCAATGAGAGATGGCTTAAAGATGACTGTGTGCCAAATTGGAAAGCCTAACTCACGTAAGAACACATATTAATTTGCACAAAGTTGTGTGAAATATATTTCAATTATATATATTAATAAATATATTATATACTTCAATAGTATACTTCAAAAGTATACTTTAATATATTAATGATCCATAGGTATAAATGTGGTAACTGTGTCCTGGCTCATTGTTGTTTATGTGAACCTTGTAAGAAAAAATGCTGGAAGAAAACATGCATGACTGCTGCTTATTAAACTGAGCATCCAGCATTTGATATTGGTTGTTTGAAACATTGGGTGTTAAAACTTCCTGGTTTAAGTTACAAAACCTGATTAAAAGGCTACCAAATTATACCACTCTGTATACCGAAGGGAAAAAGAATGAACCAGACTAAGTATTTCAATGTGTAGTTCTAGGCAATACCCCCCTGCTAATGGAAGAGATTTAGTTAATTATGAACCCCCACCCCTCTAGATTTTTCTAATTGTCACTGACAGCTTGTTTCCGCCACCCCTATGGAAATTCTAAACAGTTTTTTACTACTATCATACTTTCAAGCATGATGTCGGTGTTTTAATTTAAAAAAATATCTCGGCAAAATGTTCATTGTTCACATAAACAAGACAGAAACCGTATCTTGGCATATGCACAGCAAGGAAGGGGGTACCTTCTTGAACTGTTGGTATACAGCTCCACACAAGCTTCACTACTTGATATGCAACTGCCCTAAGAAACATACTTTCAAAAAGAAAATTTATATATTATTAACATGACAGCTTTAAAATTTAGTAATCCAAAAACTATCATGTTATTTGTGAGCTGTGTTCTGCACAAAAACACGTACCAGGATTCATAATACAAGATCCTTGTTTGGCTTACATATAACTTAGCTATAGGCTTTTCAAGTTTTCTTGTTCACATGACAGGATATTTCAGTACCTTGCTCACCTTTACAGGGATTCAAACATTACTAAATTCAGAATATGATACTCAGATCATGACGTTGTATCAGTTTGGCTGCCCCTGGCTGATGAGAATTTCTTACCACTCATTGCCAGAGTAGGGAGTGCTCTTTTTTTCACCAAACTACCTGGTAGTCATTCTTTTTAATTAAAGAAAAACATGCAAATATGTCTGGGGGTTGCCTTTTGAGGGAATGCTTAATGCCAAAAATTACTCCTACATGACTCAGTCAAATTGCATAGTTCCAGGAAATAGCCATACCCCCCCCCCCCACACCCCACCCTGCTACAGAAGAGATCGGAAATTCAAGAGGATAGGGGGTGGTGTTGACCATTGCATCAAGATTTCCAATGGAATGGGGGTATACTAAAAGTCTTGATATTTCCAGAAGGTATTCAAATACAACCAATATCAAATGCTGGTCATGCATGTTTTCTTCCAGCATTTTTTCTCACAAGGTTCACATAAACAACAATGAGCCAGGACACAGTTACTATTGAAGTATACTATTGAAGTTTATAATATATTTATTAATATATATAATTGAAATATATTTCCCACAACTTTGTGCAAATTAATATGTGTTCTTACGTGAGTTAGGATTTCCAGTTTGGCAACACAGTCATCTTTAAGCCATCTCTCATTGAAGACGTTTCGTGCAATATAACGGAGGTGACAATGATTTTTTATAAGGAGACCAGTGACCATTTGTTTTGTTAAACATGGCCATCACATGTTTGTTTTATGTCACAAATATATAAACCAAAACGTAAATAAATACAATCCAAAACGTACCAGGTGCCCGTTAAGGTTTCCCCAGACAATTCAGCAGACAGTGTTTGCTGCTCTTGCTCTCTCTCAGTTATAATACTTTTCGTTTCAGTGGCAAGAGCTTCGACTGAAGTATTTTATTTATTTATTTATTTAACTTTGCCAATAAACATTAAAACACAGAAAAAACATATATGGACAATGGCAGGGAACACGCTACAGCTTACGCCAATTACAGCGGCCCTTACATATAAGATACGACATCACAAACATTAAACTATTGTCTAATAACAACACGATACTTCACAGGACAGATTACGGGACTTGTTACAGGACAAACATATTGAGTATCATAGGCCTCGCACAAATCCACACATATTTACATCACCCCCGCTGTCACAAGAAACGTCTTCGGCAAAAGAGAGTTCGCAAGATGATTGTGTTGCAAAATTTGAGCTGTGGCTTTCGTCAGAAGACATAATTTTGAACAAAAAACAGCCTAGTATAAGCCTTTGATAATATTAATTTCTCCTTCGGGAAAGAAGCGTGTTGAGTAAATGACGTCACATCCGGCTAAGAAATCAACATCTCGCTAATTGGCAACTCAGTAATGGCGGCCGAAAAATTTGCATGTTTGCGTTGAAAAAAAAGGCAGAAGGAAATGGAATTGGACGCTGATATTTGGTAATTTTGTTTATCTACAGACATACTTTCTGAATATACAATAAAAAGACAGCACAATTTTCCATCGCAGTGGCACTTTAATCGCCAAGATCAAGGAAAACTTCCTATTTTACAAAAACGCAATCTTGTTAACCGTCACAACGAGGCTCGGGAAAAGGAAGGTGAAAGGCAACAATATAACAAACGTTACGCTGATGAAAAGAGAAACGTTAGAGAAAGCGCAATAAAAGTTGGCGACTACGTTTTGTGGAAGCAAGAGAGACGGGACAAACTCACCCCTAATTTCAATGAAACACCCCACATTGTCATCTCGCGAAACAACAACACGGTGACAGCACGTAGTCAGACAGGACACACTATAACTCGCAATGTATCACACTTCAAGCCAATACCGAAGCCTAAGATTGATGTTCAAGTCGACGACGACGATGACAGTGAAACGTATGACGCGGAAAGGACCGAACGAGACAGAGTTGACACTAGTAACCCTGAGCCAAGACGATCGACAAGGAATGTCAGGCAACCAGAACGATATGGCGAGGGAATTCCCTCGTCGGTAATTAGATAAAAAAGGAGAGTGATATAGTAATGACGTCATGTCATTCACTCGGCACCAGGACTATACGGTCGGAACTAATTAAATATAGAGATAGGACACGTTGTGTAGAAGGAACACACACACACTAAAACAACAATAAGAACTATATCGTTATGTTATACTACATATATTCTATAGCACAAATATATACCTAGTACTTAGATATTACAGCTCTGACTTTAATTCCGTCAACAAGTACCACAACTACTGGGTAAATGACTTCACCTTTGACTGACGCTACCATCATTTGCTCCGTCGCTTTATTGCATATAGATGTATGATGCCTTTCGTTACATTTCTGACAAGTGGTTTTGCACCGACACTCTTGATGCCCGATGTCTTGTCCAGGCGCAGTTGAAATACAACTTCTTCGAGTTCAATACCTTTCTCCTCTCAGTGACACTAGTTACAGTTTTACGGTCAACTGATTTGTGCTGTGTAGACTCACAATAAATACAAGGTCTCGGTTTCCATTCTCGCTGGTGTGGTTGACATGATTTATCTTTGGGAAGCTTCGACTTGTATTTTTGATCTTCTGGACCGACCGGGTTGCGCTCATACTACTTTCTCAGGGCCTCAATCATTCGACTAAAACCCCAGTCCTGCCAATGTCCTGCCAATCTTCGTCTAAACGTACCAGGTCAGCTCTGATATCAGGTAACTTATCAAGGGTTACACGAACATGGCCATAAATTTCTTTGATCTTTCCAAGTGTTTCCAATGAATGGAGATTTGTCACCAAGGTCTCATAAAATTCATGTACTTTACCAGGCTGGGAACCCCGCACTGTTTGCAAGGATATAATATGCTGTACATGAGCATTCGACACTTCGCTCGGTTTTCCATATTTCGTCTTGAGTATATTTGTAGCTCGTTCATAGCCTTCGGATGTAAAAGGAAGACCATCTATACTCATTCTCAATTTAGAGACTAGAAGGTCTTTCAGGTAAGAAAATTTTGCCACTTGTGTTATTTCAGCTTTGTCGATTTCCGTTTCAAATTGGCTCCAAAATCGTTGCCAATCTAATGGTGTCCCTTGAAACTTGGTTATAACTAGTTTGGGTAACTTGACTTGGCTAAGATGTCCTTTGCTTGATTTACTTTCTTCCATAAGTTTCTTTTCATAATCATGTTTCGTTTGCATTTTCGCTTCCTCGAGTTTAATTCTTCTTCGAAACGCTGTCTTCGTTTATTATCTTCTCTCAGTTCATCTTCTTCCCTAGCTTTCGCCTGTAACTTTCCCACATCACCATGTAACTCAGCCATAACTTGTTCATACTTCGCAATCTTTTCTTCGATCTCAAGTGTCCATTGTGTAACATCTTCTGTGTTTTCACCCTTGTAACATCTTCTGTGTTTTCACCGATTTTCGCTGTTTGTATTAAGACTTTTTGCTCGTGAATACTGTCGATTAACTCGCTAAATACTTTCTCTTGTCGCTTTAAACTCTTCAGTTCGTTTTTCTCTTGGATTTTCGGTGTATCACTTCGCGTAAATTCAAGCATACGTAGCTTCGCTTCGAACTTGTTTAACATTTGTTTTACGTCCGCTATCTTGAATTTATATTTTCCGTGTCACATAAAATAAACATTCAATATCGATATATTTCACTCTAAAAATACCTTTTCCAAATAGTTCTTGTTTATAAAATCCTGTTCCGGGTCGCCACTTTTGTCGGGATTCACTTAACCCGGCAGATAACTCACGTTTGTTCAGTTTATAGTTTACTTTATTGCTGATACTATGTTCTCGTTTTTCACCTACCAAAATACATGTCAACAACAATTAACTACCAAATATCAACCAAATTATTACTAAATATGCAAGACTCGCGACAGATAGAACTAACATGCAGTTGAGGACATTTTGTAAAACATATATAGAGGGCCTAGATAGTCGCAGTTCTTGGCTAGTTCCAAAATAGTATATAATCTTCAGTTCCTAATTTCCAACCACAAACGCCCTTCAGTTTTCCTAATAGATCTTCAGTTTTCCTAATAATTCAGTTTTCCCAATTGATCACAGGTTTCAAATAATCCATTGTCATCGCCAACAGTATACAAAACAATTCAATTCCATCTCCATGCAAAGCTGCAAAGAACTAAAATAATATTGTCTTACCTTCATTCGATCTTGCTTTCTTTCTATTCCAGCGATTTTATCTCTCATTCCTTTCAATTCTACTTTCATCTCGTCCTATATGTAAATAAATAACTTTAACATTAGGTTTTATCTTTTATTCCGTTTAATTATACTTTCGGCAATATGCATGAAAAATCACAACACTAGTGTTAATATATGATACTATTTATACTGTAGACTTTTTGACAACCCGTACAGCAGGTAGTGAAAAAGAATATTTTACCTTCACTTCATCTTGCTTCCTTTCTATTTCCTTGTTCTGAGCTTTCATTTCAGCGTGGGATTCCTGAATTACAGTATTGGTTTGAAATATTTTCTCAGAGATGACACTGTATACATTTTGACATTTCGCCGTTAGATGTTGGGAATGACAATTCAGGTAAAGCATGCCGTGGTCCAACAATGGGTAAGTTTGATTCTGCATTGCATTGCGTCGCTAGATTAAAAGGCCTAAAAATTGCTAGTATAAATGTCCATAGCTTATTGAAACACATTGAGGAAATTAGGCATCTGTTATTTAAATTTCCATTCGATATTTTTGCTATTAATGAATCCATAATAGATGATTCTGTAATGGATGGGGAAATAAGTATCCCTGGTTTTAACTTGATAAGAAAGGACCGTAATAGGGCAGGAGGCGGTGTGGTGTTGTATATCAACAACAAACAACCTATCCTATTTGGATAGGGATGACTTGGTGCCCGATCGTCTTGAGATGCTGTGTGCTGAAATTACTCGCCCCTTTAGCAAGTCGCTTTTTGTCTGCACATGGTATAGGCCTCCGAAGTCAAACTTGAGCTTATTTAATGATTGTGATGTATTATTTCAAAAATGCGAGTCTGAAAATAAGGAATTGATTATAATTGGTGATATTAACTGCGATGTTATGAAAGCCTCCCCAGATGCCCATACACGACAATTAAACTTTTTGTGTTCTCTTGATCAACTTGACCAATTAATTAATAAACCTACAAGAGAGACCAACACCTCGGCGACCTTGATTGATTTGGTCTTAACTAATGCTAAAGAAAACATTTCGACGTCTGGTGTAATAGATCTGGGGATGTCTGACCATAGTTTGATTTATGTGGTCAGGAAGTTCACCCTTCCAAAACTTAAACCTAATGTGAAAGAAGTTAGGGATTATAAACATTTTAATGCTGAATATTTTATTGGAGATTTAGCCAGAATGCCTTGGCATGTAATTAATCAATATAATAATCCCAACGAATGCTGGAGGGTATGGAAATCTTTCTTTAATGAGATATTAAATATACATGCGCCGATTCGACATAAGCGAGTAAAGGGGAACTCGGTCCCATGGATTACTCCGGAAATTAAATGTATGATGAGAAACAGAGACTATTATAAAAAATATGCAATAAAACATTCCTCACAGCCACATTGGGGAAGTTTTCAATTTCTGCGGAATAAAGTGAATGTTGAAATGCGAAATGTAAAATCAAAATATTTTCATGATAAAATCACTGATTGCTCTGTAATGAATGACCCTAAAAAGACTTGGAAATTAATTAATTCATTATTGGGAAAGAATAACAAATCCAACAATGTGAATGAGCTGCTGGTTGACAGCACGTTAGTTTCGGATCCTAAATCTATTGCAGA